CTCCTCCTACAACAACTACTACTACTACTACTACTACTACTACTACTACTGCTACTACTACTGCTACTGCTACTACTACTCCTCCTCCTCCTCCTCCTGCTGCTGCTGCTGCTGCTGCTGCTGCTACACGAATGAACAAGAGCACCGTGGTCACGTGTCCAGTTGTTTCTCTTGCCAGAATCGTTGTGTTGTAGATGGTCGTAGAGCACGGAACAGGAAGCCATCTCCAAGCACGTGCAGAGCAAGTCGGGTGGAGTCACCTTCTGCGAGGGCGACGGCCGCCCCAGTTTGGCTCTCAAGGCCGAGAGCTCGAAAAAAGGGTTTGACTGAGCTCCGGAACCTGAACCCTACCCAAATTCCTGGCGGTGCGACTTGGTCAGCTGGGCGGNNAAACCAAGCCCTCAACCCTCGACCCTTAAACCCTTAAAATTTGCGAGTTGCCAGAGTCTAAACCCTAACAGCCCTAAATCCGAAAAGCCCTAAACCCTAAAAGCCCTAAACCCTAAACCCTAACTGCCCGAGAGAGAGAGGAAAAAGACCGAGCCAGGCCTTGACGGTTTGGAAGCCCGAGCAGCCCGAGGAGGCCGAGGCCAGGAGCCGAAGAGAGTGCCTCGGCATTTCCTGGCGCCTTTTTCTGGGCTCTTTGAAGAGCTCCTTTCGGGGAGTTTCCCATAGGGGGAGGATAGAAGATGCAGTGTTTAGGAAACTTTCAGTCCTAGAATCAGCGAGTTTTCGGATTTGTGCTTTTCTCCCCCACTCGCACTTCTTAAGGCCCCTATCAGATTATCGGGGAAAGCTACAAAGCTAACAGAAACCCTCCACTCCAGGTCCAAGGAATGCCTCTTTGAGAAGCTCAGCCTCGACTTCGAGGAGGGATGGAGGGTTCTCGTCCACGGGCCTTCCGGCGTGGGCAAGAGCAGCTTGCCGTTGAAGTGCGCAATTACCTGGCTCATATAAGGGGCTCAGGGGGCGCCTACAGCGTCCTCTCGGGTAAATTTATAGGGCCCAGGGGGGCTTTGTGTAATTGGCACACAGGGTGTTGGTGTAAAATGTGCTTTAAGACTAATAAGCAGCCCGTACATTCACTAAGTAGACGAGCTATTGAGTTGGCAGCCCGCGCCAGACTTCCAGATCCCAGGCACCCTTCTGCGTGCCATTTCTGGGGCCTGGCCCTTTGCGGAGGGTGAGGTTTGGACACCCAAAAAATCCTCTCCGCTGGTCTTCCCTGCAGAGGCACGAGGGAGTTATCAACAAAAAGGGAAGCCTGAAGTGTCACGAAAGGCCGGGCTGTAGAATTGCAAGCCTGTTCTTCCGCAGGTCTATGTGCCTGCGGGCCAGCTTCGCTCGGCGGTGTGCTACCCATCGGCAGCTGGTGCTGAGGGTTTTGCAGATGAGGATGTTGAGCGGGCCTTGACCACGGTCGGTTTGGGCCAGTTTTTGGAAGAGCCGTCCTTGGACGCGGTGGAGGATTGGGACATGGTCCTGAGTTCCGGGCAAAAGGCCAGGGTCTCCTTGGCTCGGCTCTTGCTGAACAAGCCAAAGGTCGCCTGCCTTGACGAGCCCGTGGCGCACTTGCAGGAGTCTGCCAGGGCACCTCTCTTGGAGCAAGTCTTCCAGAAGCTCGACCCCGAGAGCGTCGTTCTCGTTGTCACGCATGACTTGTCGCCGGACATAGTCAAACTCTTCAACCGAGCTTTGCATGTCGACCCGGCGAAGACGACGCTGTCACAGAGCTTTGCTTGACGGCACAGACGACGCTGACCGTGCCACAAAACAGGATGGAACTCCTCGTCCCAAAGGGTTGCATGGAATCGGTTTGGCAGTCTGCTCGTCCCGCAAAAGCGGCACGGAAGCGAGAAGGAACGAAAAAGAGTGGCCTCCGAAAGATCTCGATGTATTGAGCTGTACTGAGTCCAATGTGATGTATACCTACAGTGGCAGACTCGTACAGATAGATGGGTGAGGTAGGTCAGGTAGGTTCAAAACTATAGTACACTGGCATAACCAGAGTCTTGTACCCGTCGCCTGTTCGGCAAGTGTCCTTGACTCGTTGCTCCGTGGCATTTTGCCCAAGCTCCGGCATTCGTGCTTCCCTTGTCCTGATGCTGCAAATGCAACAGCAAAGCCCAAGTCTCAGATGCTCAGCACCTCTCGACCGACATGGGGATAGTGTGCTCTATGCCAGCCAGGTTCGGCCCAAGGCCAGCATGTGCCGGCCAGGCACCCGAAAGAGGCTCACGGCTTGAAGAGCTTTGACGGTTTTGTGAGTTTTGTGCATGAGCAGTCCTTTCCTGTTGCGGTGTACTTGTGGCCTGGTTGAGGCTGTGCTGACCTTTGCTTTGCCGGCTCCAGTGGTCCGGGCGACAGCGCTACAGGAGAGCCCGCTTCAGTGTTGGTGACTGCTGTGGCCATTTGTATATACGAGGCAGTGCTGGCTGCATGTGTCACGCTTGCTAAGACTGTGACTCAGCAACATGATGGCTACGACTTTTCTGTGTTGTCATCATCTCTTTGCCGATGTGACTCGCATGAATTCCGCCGTGATGGCTGTGCGCGCAGGGCCTGTCGTTACAGGGCAGTCAGCGGAAGGCCATTGGCGGCTCAGGTGCGACACATGTCAGGGCTTGGAGATGTTGAAGTCGGTCGTTGGGTCCACCAAGATTTCCTTTGCGCTGGATGTTCGATCACATAAGATAAGGTTTTTGCAACTCTATATGGGGCCGGGCGACCCCAAGATTGCACGCACACGCAGCATGTTTGCTACTGCGGCCGCTTAGGTTTATGTAGGTTAGGTTAGGATTGAAGGTGAAGACCTACAGTTCTTTACAGTCTTACCTTGCTGCGGACATCAGTCCAGCAGCTTCGATGCCCGGCGACACTCGCAAGACGGAGCAGGAGATCGCCGAATATGTCATACCGACCTCTACTACAGCTCCCGGGTTCTGGTTGAGCAGCGTTTTGTAGGTTTTTCCATGCAAGCGCACCTTTGAGCCGAAATGCCATCAGAGACGTTTGAAAGCCCAGGATTTGGAGGAAGTCCTTAGCCCTGCCGGAGGGAGCTCCGGTAATGGCGAAGTCGAGCCGTTGAGCCCGGAAAGCGAAGGCGGCACATATCCACCCGGCCTCCCTCATCCTCTGGGATCCACGGAGCACGACACGTGGCAAAGGGAATTTGGGGGTCTGCTGAATGTTGCGCAGGGGGAATACGGGCTTCCCGAGTCCAAGAACCAAGGACAGCAGCAGCAAGTTCAAGCACGGTGCTGGGATGCCGAAGCCGAAGAGCGGACCGCATGCCGACGCCGCATCCAAGTCCCCGAGATATGTCAACTTAGACTTCGTTGCTACTCCTTTTGTGGAGACCTTGGATGTCGCACTACCACAGAAGCTGCCGCTCCCGCTGCTGCTCGGTTGCTTTGAGGTTCTGGCGAGTCTTTCCATCATGCCGGATATACATGCAAATTTGTCGTATGTCATATATATATATATACATGTAAAAAGTACTTATCTGTCCATCGACCGGTCGATCTGTCTATCTATCTATCTATCTATCGGTCTATCTATCTAGCTATATGTCTACCTACCTACCTACCTACCTACCTACCTACCTACCTACCTACCGACCGACCGACCGACCGACCTATTCATCTATCGATCCATCTATCTACCTATCTATCTATCTATCTATCTATCCATCTATCGATCTTTGTACCTATCTATCTATCCATGTATCTATCCATCTACCTATCTATGTCTATACCTGTTTATTTATTTATCCATCTGTTTATCTACCTATGTATGTGTACATACGTATACATACATAC